ATAAACCTCACCAAACAAAGACAGAAGACACAAAACATTAGACAAACAAACCTACCTTTCGTCTTGCACTTTTCTTTTCCTAGACTTAGGATTTTACTTTTCAAGCATCTAGTGTAGTAAGTTCTTCCTTTTTCTAATGTAAGTTTATATTTTTCTTGTCATTTAAATTTTTGTTTGATTTATATTTCTTGTCATTTAAATTCAAGTTTATTTCGATTCCTTTACATTGTTATCGCACTTCAATTAAGTTTAATTTCAAGTTGGTTTGTTTTATTATTCTTATCGCTTTTATTTCGTTCTTGCTTTATTTATCGCTTTGATTTATTTTATTGCACTTCAATTCTTGTCTTTACGTTTATACGCATATTTAGTTCAATTGCATTATTTTTACATAAAACCCTAAAAATTACAAAAACATCCGTACGAAACGTAATCATCCTTGAACCCGAGGAAGTGAAAGAATCTAGGCTAAGAGAATGTTCCTTGCTTGGCCGATCAATCGTTTGGTCAAAAGTTTGAAGCGCAATACATCCATTTATTCACATTCCACTCAAGCCCAAATTCGGGGCTTGGTGGTGGCATGCCCCGCACTCAAAAAACGAAGGACCAAAAGTCCTTTCCGTCGGCCGGCTCGCCGAAAAGAGGGAAACAATGGTCAATAGGGTTGTGAAATTCGTTGACTGGAAGAGTTGATGGAGCATGTATTATGCCTCTGATATTACTTCTTAATCAGTTGCCAAAGTTTGATGGAGTGTATTTGAGTTATCTGTGGTTTCTATACTATCTCTGGATCAGTGCAAGGTTTAGCATGTCTTCGTTGGAGGAAAAATGATGGCCTGGAGTTGGTACTTTTTTTTTATATGTGTCAATTTGGCGAACTTCGCTGGGTTACGCTTCACATGAGTACTCTTATGCAGTGGCGGATCCAGGATTATGTGGCTAATGAGGCTTAGTGTAAAAGTTCTGAAATTTTTCTACAAAGAAAATAATGCTAAAAAGATAGAAAGATAGTACTTCCATTCATAATTCATAACGAAACCAATAATACAAGTTACAATTGTCCACGACGAGTTTTCATATTCTGAAAACGTTGCATTATAGTTTCGTTATCAATAGAAGCAAAAACATCTCTCTTAATGTAAACAATCAAGCTATCATTCAACCATTGATTTCCATTCTGTTACGAAGTGGATTTTTAATAATATTCATGGCGGAAAATGCCCTCTCCACTGAAGCAGTTGCAACTGGTAAAACCAAAGCCAATGTAAGAAGCAAATACACATAAGGATATATTTCAAGCATTCCTTTCTCCACCATTTTTTCCGCAAGACTATTAATCCCTTCCAATTGAGAAAAATCACTACTTGAACGCATATGATGAACATAAACACCAAGTTGATCTTCAAGCATCAATAAGTCTCTATCCAAAAAATCATAAAGATAAAATTGAGCAAGACGAAGTAGCTTTCGTTTGTCAAAAGCTACAAAGTTATTTTTCAGACTCAAGCATGCCAAATAAGTAAGTAACTCAGTACATACCTCGTTGAAGCGATCATTTAATTCCGCAAGTTGCCCATCAATTACATGAATAAAGATCTCCACACGATAACGGTGATAATTTGTCTTCATTGGAGCATTACGCCGTGATCTCCCTAGAATTACATATTCCTAATCCATGGTAGGAACTGTAATATCATGTTTGTAACAAAACGAAGATGCTTGCTCAACCAATTCTTCAAACTCATTGTCCCTCAACTGCAAGAGTTTTCCTTGCATGTTTTCACTAAACTCATTGCACTCACAATGTCTTGATCTTTCTTTTGCAATGCTAGAGACAAAGTGTTTGTTATTCCCAACATAGCTTTCATTAAAAATAAGTGAAACACAAACTCAAAAGATTGTATTTCTCTCCATAACTTATAGGCTTCACCCGAACTATCATTAGGATTATCATCAACAATCATTTAAAGCACATTCACCACAGATGGGAACATAGAAATGATACTAATCAACGTACCATAATGTGAGTTCTATCGTGTATTGCCGGCACGTTTGAGAGTAGTTTCTTGATTTAAGCCCCGCCCCGTTATAAGACAATCATCTTCAAAAGCTCTCACAAGCTCTTCTTGGTATTATGCTCTAAGTGCATCGCGACGCTTACAAGATGCTTTAATAACATTAACCAAACTATTAGCCGTTGTGAAAAAAGAGTTGACATCAATGTTTTTCTTTGCTACCGCAACAAGAGTAGTTGAAGTTGATAAGCAAAGCAATGAACATAAAATGCACAAGGTTGTTCTCTCAAAATCTTTGTCTTAAGGCCATTGAACTCACCTCTCATATTACTAGCTCCATCATAACCTTGTCCTCGTAGCTTAGAAAAGCTCAAATTCACAGAAGAAAAGAATTCATCAATGACTTCCTTTAGTGCACTTGAAGTAGTGTCGGTTACATGTTGAACCCCCACAAACCTTTCAATTATTTGTCATTTGTTATTCACATAACGCAGCACCATCGCCATTTGCTCCTTTATTGAAACATCACGTGTTTCATCCACCATTATTGAAAAATATCTATATTTTACATCACTCAAGTTAAGACCAATGGTTTCTTTAGCACAAGAATTGACAAGATCTTTTTGAATTGAAGGAGCTATTAACTTTAAATTTCCCCGAGCATTTTCCAACACAACGGCCTTAACTTTTTCATCATGATTCGCAAGAAATTGCAAGAGCTCTAAATAATTCCCTTTATTACTTGATTGTGCACTTTCATCATGACCATGAAAAGAAAGACCTTGTCGCAACAAATACCTAGTGCACTTAAGTGATGCATTCAAGCAAGTGCGATAAGCCGTGCGAGCTTGGCTTGTTTGCTTGATCACAATTGTTTCAATGTGTGTAGTTTGATACATCAAATTGTAAGCAACTTCTCTAGCTTGGTTGTGAACACTACCAACCGGTCCAATATGAAGGTTAAATCTTTCTTTTGCCTTCTTCCAATTATTGAAGTCTACCTTAGTGAATGCATCACCACCCACTTGATCAAAATTAGATTTGAATAGATAACAATGAAGACAAAACGCTGCATCTTTAGCAATACTATATTCCAACCAAGCATGATCATCAAACCAATAAGCATTGAAGCGTCTATTAATTCCAGATTGATTAGTTTGTGGGAATTTATAACTTCTAGGTTGACAATGTCCCTTTTGTAGATATGCTCTTCGGATCTCATCCCGAATATTAGGACTATAATCCACCATTCGAGTTCTTAATCCAGGGTCTGCCTGAAGATTAGCTAAGATCTCATCTACTTCAATTGGTCTTGCATTTGAACTACCCGGATTAGACGGAGAATGACTATCCGTAGATAATTTTCTTTTAAAGAATCGTTCCATAAATCTACAAATCAATTAATTCAATCAATCATTAATTTTTATCCAAATTATCATATGAATATGAAAACGTCAATAACCCACTCTCAATATTCAATATACTCCCTAAACCCATATCAATCAATATTCAATATACCAAATTATCGTATCAAATAGCAATCAATATTCAATATACTCAATCAATTCATATTATCAATCAAGCATAAACTCAATCAATCTACATTAATATGATTATCACTATGATTCATATTCATAAATTTAATTACATTAAAAAAATATATATCAATATGATTCATATCCACAAATTTCATAACATAAAAAAAAATCAATATCAACAGTATATATTATCACTATAATTATTAATATAAATTTTTCCATGCTTACTTGTAGATGAAAAAAGAGGGCGGCAGAAGGTGATGGTGATCGGCACTGGGCCACCGGCGAAGAGTTGATAGAGGTAGTCGAAGGTTGGGATAGGTTAGGGTTTGAGAGGATGGGAAGAGGGGCTGTGAAATTGGGAATGAAGGGTTTGGAGGCATAATCAAATTGATGCTGTTATGTTATGTTTTTTTTGTTTGTTTGTTTTTTTTAAAACCTGGCCCAAAACGACGTCGTTTTGAGGCAAGGTCAATTTAAAAAAAAATTTGATTGAGCCTTAACCAAACAACGTCGTTTGGCAAGGCTCGTTTTAAAAAAAAATTGGATGCGTAGGCTGCGCAGCAGAGCTCGCCTGGGACTTTCGTCGAGCACTTGGTGTGCATACAAGGGGGCTTCCAGCAGCTGTACAAGGGAGCTTTCATGGAGTCCCTTGCCAACTTTCTAGCCTTCCAAGGGGTCGTCCGACCCCTCTTGTCCCAACGTGCGTCCGCCCCTGCTCTTATGTCTCAAGCTTTGGATTAGTGCTCCAAACACAACGAAAAAAAAAGTCTAGTCTGCTTCAACTACAGCAAAATTCAACGCTTTTTATGCTTCTTTGGTTTACGCATTGTTCCAATCTCATGGTTGGATTCTCCACCCATGATCTTGCGGGGGGATGTTAGGGTATGTAGAGCTAGGATTGTGACAAGTGTCACTTAGTCATTGACTGATGTTAGAATTAGTTAGTAAGCTGTTGTAATCAGTTAGAGCCTTATAAAGCTTAACTCTTTGTATTGTATAGTATTCTGATAAATAATACAGAAAAGTTCTTCTTCTTCTTAATTCTCTCTCTATTTCACTTTCGTTAACAGTGAGTAGTAGTCGTGACTAGGAACAGGAACGCATGCATGCAGTACCTTCCTTCCAAACTCTAAGTCCACTTGGCATTAATTACAATATTGTATGTATGTATATAGACAGAGAACCTTCTTCCTTTCATTCTATTTTTTCTTTTGTCTTTGCCTTGTAAATCCTTCGGTTTTAGGCAACACAGAATTCACGGGTTAAAGATAATTAACTTAAGAGAACGGGTGGACAAAGTCGATCGACCAGGAAAAAAAAACAAAAAAAAAAATTAATGGGTTACAGCGGGGGTGTGAACGTGTTGAGAACACAACACGATGGTATGGAGCAAATGCTAGAAAATTAAACCCTCCAAATTGTTTATATAAGGCCAATGGTATGCTCAAACTCCATAGCCACTGCCCAGCTCCTCCCCACGCCCAAATCCACCACGTACTTTCTCTCTCTCTCTCTCTCTCTCTCTCCAATCCCACTGCCCAGCTTCTCCACCAAGCCCAGGTCCGCCATCGACACTGCCCAGCTTCCCCGCTACCCAAATCCACCCTTCTTTCTTTCACTGAGTCTGAAACCACCATGAAAACAGATTGAGATCACAGCCTTCACAGCCTTCCGCCTCAAGGTGCCGCCACCACGCTCCTCACTCTCCTCGACCACCATCGTCGAACCCTAGCACCGGCACACTAGGTCCCAATCTCACGGCCTTGGACTGGCGTCGCTGACCTCTCAAAATTCTCGAGCTAGGCTCCGGAATCGCGGCTGCAATCATGCTAGGGGCTTGGTGAAGGAGAGAGAGAGAACGGTGGATTTTCTGAAAAAAAACAAAGAAGCATCTTCCACAATTCAAAAAAAAAATGTAGGCTGTTTTCTTTATAAAAATTAAATTAAATTAAATTGAGCTTAGACCCATAAAATTTATTTTAAATCACCCACGACCCTTTCCTTTAGTTTTCTATGTAAAATACCCAATTTTTTCAAATAATACTCAATGACTATGATCCAACTAAGCAAGTTACCTAATATAACTTAAAATATGATTTATTGTATTTTTCAAATTCCAAAACTACCCCTATTTATAAGTTAATGTGTTATGGGTGGTGTAACTAATGACACCTGTTGAATTTAGAAATATCTCCAAATAGTTATAATGAATGTAGGAACTAATTTAGAAACTTATTTGAAATTAAATATTAAATTCCACATTAAAGTATTAGTAATCTGTTTTTGAATTAATTGTGTTTTCTTTCTATGAATTACGACTAGTAATCTATTTAAAGTATTAATGATTTAAATTCAATATTAAATTTAGGAATTAATGTTGTTTTCTTTTCATGAATTATACGACCATTATTCTTTTTTATTATAGTTTTATGAATAATAGTGTACATTCTAATTATGTTGAAAAATAATTTGATAATCTATTTATTGTTTTGTTTTTAAAACATTTTTTTAATGAACCTATTTTTTCTCCAAATATTGTACCTATTTTTTTTCTTTATTACTTGTTTTATAAAAAAATAATTTGATCATCTTTTTATTGTTTGTTTTATGAAAACAATTTTTTTTTACATGAGCCTATTTTTTCTCTCAAAATAATGTACCTATTTTTTCCCCTAAACAATTTACCTGGTATAATGAACCTATTTTTTTTCTCTAAATAATGCACCTTTTTTTTCTCTAATAATGTATACCTAGTAAAACAATTTACCTAGTATAATGAACTTATTTTTTTCTTCTAAGTAATGTACCTATTTTTAATTTATAAAAAATGTGCATAAATTTCAATTATACAACATACCTATTTTCTACAAATTATTGTGTACCTATTTTTAATCTATGAAAAATGTACGGAAATTTCAATTACAAAGTAATTTACCTATTTTTGTTAATTTTTTTTGGTAAATAATATACCTATATTTTTATATGTATATATTTATATTTATATTTTTCATATATATATATATTATTGGATATGTAATTTACATATTTTTTTTATTTATTTGCAATTTTATGGGGCCATATGTTAGAGGGAATGTCAACCAAAAGAAATGGGGTGATTGATATGTTATTAATATGGAGTTTTAATTACAATTATGGAAGTTAATGAAATGTTTGAAATAAATTATAAATAAAATATGAAGTATGATGGCAAGGACGTAAAAACATAAGAATACTATGACCTCTTATATCCTACTAGTCATTTAAGTTTGAAATTGGGTTTTACACATAAATTTATAGAATGATGGGTATATCTAGAAATAAAAATTGTAGGGACCTATATTGGACAAGCCCTAAAAAAAATGGCCCAACTTTGTCTTTTTGCAACCTGCTCCTGCAGGTTGTGTAGGTAAATATCTAACAATTTGTTCTTTTTGTACTACAATAAATGTAAACCGTTGATCCTATCTAACGGTCTAGAAACATGATGTATCCGTACTTTAAAGTATATTAGAATTTTGTGCATGCAGTACCTTTTCTTGTCTGTATTTCTGTTCCTAATTCTCTGCCATTTCGAAAAGGACATTGCTTCGGCAGTGACAAGTCCAGAACCCCACCTTCTACCACATACTACTCACACAGTTGAAGGTGGGTTTAATTAGTTTGATTGATGTCTAATATTTGATGTAATTGTAAGACGAATCCATGCCTTATTCTAAATTGTGGTCTTCTAAACATATCTGGTTTGGAAGTATTAATCCTAATACTAGTAGAATATTCAATCGAATAGTGTGTTTATATTGAGATAGGAGTATCTTAAGGATTCTTAATTCTATATGGATTAAAACATCCTATTCCTTAGCAAACAGAATATGTTCGAGTACTCCTTGATGGGTAAGGTACCGAAACAAATGCTTATAAATAAGGTCTCTTCCTTATCGACTAAAATACACTCATAACAAAAATTTCACCCCATCCAGAAATAAAGATAAAGAGCCGAGTAGGAGAAGAAGATCCTTATTCACAATGTCTTATCAAGGTTAGTATTTGAGATTCAAAGACATGATAGAACTTACATCTGGTATCAGAGCACTAGGTCTTGTTCTCTAATCCAACCTACAGATTTATAAAAGACTGCAGCTAAAATAAAATTTTGATCATTAGCATGAAACATGTAGACTTTAACCAATTGCATATCTTATGTGATAAGGTATGATCAAGGACATCAAGAATTTTTGCTCGATCATGCTTGAAAAGCTATTGATCAGAGACTGAATTATTATTGCTTAAATTAAGTAAGCCACAACTGCTTAATTGTTGCAAGAGTAATTTTCAATTGAAAGATTGATCTATACTCGCATCACAACTAGTAGCCTTTTGTGATTACTTCTATCCACATATAGTAAATACACAAACTGATAACAGATGTGATGGTACAATATGGATGAAGGGATTGACCAGACTAACAAGAAGACTTCTCAATCCACATATGAGAAGTTCTACTTGTGCAGGAAGTTTGTTCAAACTCAAAATCCAGTATTTAGGAACATGTTCAAATCACAACCCACAGGTGTGAATTGATAATGTTTAAGTAAAGTTTAATGGGGATAGTTATTTATTATTTGTTATATGTTTACAATGAATCCTTCAAACTATCAATTCATTGAAACATTGATTGGATCGAATTAAAAAAATGGAAGCAAGATTTGGAGATTTCTTTAGGTTTTCTTGATTATGACTATGTGCTTAGAAAAGAATCTATTCAAGAACCAGCTGCAGATGCTTCTACAACAATGAAAACCAAATATGCCAAGTGGGAAAAGGCTAATCATATGAGCATGCTAATTATGCAAAGGTCAATAGCAACATCTGTGAAAGGAAGCATTCCTAAATCTGAGAATGCTAAACAATACTAAGAATCTATTGCACAGAGATTCAAGGAGTTTGAGAAAGCTGTCAAAAGTACCATACTAAATCAGTTGATTAATATGAGATATGATGGACAAGGATGTGTGAGAGCTCATATCAAGAATCTGATTGACATTGGAACTAAGTTGTAGGATTTGGAAATGAATGTAGATGAAGATATGATGGTTCATCTTGCTTTGAATTCACTGTCTAAGGAGTTTAAGTCTCTCAGAGATACCTACATTGCTCAAAAGGAAAGCTGGACACTGAATGATCTTATCTACATATGTGTTCAACAAGAACACAATATAATAAGAGAAAGAGATGCGAAAATGGTGAATCTAGTGCAGTCCAAGCAAAATAAGGAATATAGGAACAAAGGCACTACTGCTGGAAAAGAGAAAGAAAAGGAAAGGATAATAACAATCCAAATGCTCTGAAACCAGTGGGATTGAAATGCTTCTTTTGTAAGAAAACTAGACATATAAAAAAGGAATAAATAAGGTATAAGGAATGGTTGGACAAACAAAAAACTAAGGGTAAAAGTGATCAAGTTTTGGTTTGCTTTGAATCTAATTTAGTTTATTTTACTGATGATTCATGGTGGTTAGACAGTAGTGCATCTATTTATATGACTAATTCTTTGCAGGGGTTCAAAAAGAAGAGCTTGCCAAGCAAGAATGAAGTGAAGGTGTTCGTATACAATGGAGAAAAGTGCAAGTAGATAATATTGGAGTAGTTAGGATTGAACTAGATTCTTGTTTTGTTTTTTATTTAGAAGATGTGGTTTATGTTCCTTCAATGAGGAGGAATCTCATCTCAGTTACTAGGCTTGTAAAGTCAAAGTTCACTTTGAACTTTTGGTTGTTCTACTTTCAGAAATAAAAGTTTAATTAGAAAAGAAAGTATTGTGAATGGTATGTTTCTATTAAACTGCAAAGAAACTATGAAAATCAACTCAGTTCAATCCAAACCATGCAAAGAATTATCATTTAAACTGTGGCATAAGAGACTTGGACATATTTCAAAGGAAAGAATCAATACTTTATGCAAATAATTAGTTCTACTACCATTGAATCATGATAATGTAGATGATATATGTATAGAATGTACAAATGAAAAATTGACCAACCTAAGAAAGAAAGGTGTTGTAGGAAGTCAAAGTGTATTGAAATTAATCTATACAGACGTATGTAGACCATTCCCTACTCCATCCTGAAGGGTTTAACTACTTCATCACTTTTACAGATGAATACTCGAGATTTGGACATGTTTTTTTTATCAAAGAAAATCCAATGCTTTGGACATGTTCAAAATTTATAAAGCTAAAGTGGAAAACCAACTAGACTTAAAGATAAAAGTTGTAAGGTTTGACAGAGGAGGAGATTTCTATGGGAGATTCGATGAGACTGTGAGGAATCTTGGTCCTTTTGCAAGGCTTCTACAGCAAGAAGGAATCATTGCTCAATACACTAATCCAGAGACTCCACAACAAAGTGGAATTCCATAGAGGAGAAACAGAACTCTAAAGGATATGATAAGAAGCATGATGTGTTGCACAAACTTACCAATTTTTCTATGGGAATAAGCTTTGAAAACAGCAAATTACATACTCAATCGAGTACCAACCAAGGGTATCAACAATATCCCTTATGAAGTTTGGAATAAGAGAAAATCAAGCTTGAAACATTTGAAAACATGGGGCTGCAAGCCAGAGGCAAAGATGTATAACCTTATGGAAAAGAAGTTGGATTCGAGAACTGTAAGTGGTTATTTCATAGGAATCCAGATATAACTAAAGGATACATATTCTATTGTCCTAAAAACACTACCAGATTTGTAGAAACTCAGAGAGCAATGTTTATAGAATCTGAAAATGAGACAATTGAAGATGAAAATTTTGAGTTTGATGAAGGTATTGCAAAAACTGGGGAAACAATGCAAATTGACATTTTGGTTTTACCAAGTTTTGACTTGAATGGCAATCAAAACAACCAAGAATGGCAAACTGGTACAAACTCTATGGTAACTGAAGAAGAAACTTATGAAAATCAAGTTTTCCTACCTGAAAATCAAGATGCAGTTCAAGCACAAGAAGGAACTAATAATCAGACAAACACAAGACTAAGGAGGTCAGGAAGACCAAAGAAACGTGCTTTACATGATGATTATTATGTTTACCTTCAAGACTTAGAGCATGATATGAATGATATTGGGGATCCTATGAACTTCAAGCAAGCAATGATGAGTGACAAAAATGAAAATTTGTGGGCTATTTTGAAATCAGAATTAGGTTCCACGGAAAAGAATGAAGTTTGGGAGCTTGTGCCTTTACCACAAAAGAGCAAACCAATTGGCTACAAGTGAGTGTTCAAAACCAAGAGAAATTCAAAGGGGCAGATAGATAGATATAAGGCTAGACTAGTTGCTAAGGGGTTCACACAGAAAGAAGGAATTGATTTCAATGAGACCTATTCACCTATCTCAACAAAAGACACCTTTCAAGTGATCATGGCTCTAGTAGCTCATTTTGATTTACACTTGCATCAAATGGATGTCAAGATTGCATTCTTGAATGGAAACTTGGAGGAAGAAATTTATATTCAACAACTAGAAGGTTTCATTCAAGAGAAGGGAGAAAATCTGGTTTGCAAGTTGTGTAAATCAATTTATGGTCTAAAACAAGCATCTAGAAAGTGGTATATAAGATTCAATGAAGTTGTTAAACTATATGGTTTTACAAAGAATGTCTTAGATGAGTGCATTTACATGAAGATGAGTGGGAGTCACTTCATAATTCTGATTCTTTATGTAGATGACATTCTGCTAGCTTGCACCAACATGTCCATGTTACACGATTGCAAGGCATTCCTGGCTAAACATTTCGACAATGACATATTTGGGGGAAGCCTCATACATTTTGGGAATCGAAATTAGCAGAAATAGAAAGAGAGGTTTGTTGGGACTATCACAGAAGACTTATACAGAAAAGATACTCAAAAGGTTTAACATGCAAGGCTGTGCAGGGTCAGATGTGCCTATTTCAAAGGGAAATAAATTTAATACTAATCAAGCACCAAAGACTGATCAAGGAAAGCGTGAGATGGCAGATAAACCTTATGCATCATTAGTGGGGAGTCTCATGTATGCACAAGTACGCACCAGACCTGATATTTCTTTTACAGTAAGTGTATCGGGAAGATTTCAATCAAATCCTGGACAAGCATATTGGACTGATGGTAAAAGAGTCATGAGATATTTGCAAAGAACAACGGAACTATAAGTTGGTTTACAAAAGGAGTGACAGACTAGAAGTAGAAGGTTACGCTGATGCAGATTTTGCAAGTTGCAAAGATGACTTGAAATCTACATCAGGATATGTTTTCCTATTTGCTGGAGCAACAATATCATGGAGAAGTAACAAGCAGCCACTCACAATTGCATTGACTATATTGGCAAAATTTCTGGCTTGTTATGAAGCAACCACTCAAGCTATGTGGTTAAAGAACTTTATCAATAATTTGGGTGTGGTTGAATCAATTCAACGACCTATACATCTTTGGAATGATAACAGTGCAATAGTACTTTTTGCAAAAGGGAATAAAAGAACAAAGGCATAAAGAATTCTGGAAGTTGAATTCTTTGTTGTCAAAGAAAAGATTAGAGATGGGCATACTGTGTTGGAGCACATTGGCACAAATGAAATGGTTGCAAATCCACTTACTAAGGGGTTACCAAATGCTGTTTTTCACAGACATGTGCTTAGCATGGGATTGATAGTTCATTTGGATGACTAAAAAGTGGGAGTTTTATCAAGTTCTGGTAGTTTAACTAGTTTTGCTATTTTCTATTCAAATTCATACAGTGGTGTTTTAATTTGAATGATTTTCAGTTTAAGGATTAGAATATAGTATATTTATGCAATGTAGTTTATATGCACATGTGATTGCTTAAATATATGTGGGTGGCATAGCATGCATTTAAGGTAGCCATGAGAGGATTGTATTCATGATAGTTTGTAATTTTGGGTATGCAAATTGAGACCTTGGTAGTCATTTACAGGGACAAAGGAATTAGATGACTTTTGTTTAAAGCACTCTCAGTAAGGTCATCTACATTCTACAGTTTTAATCTTGATCGAAGCCATATGTGGTGTTGAAGAGTTTTAAGTGTGATTATAAAGACCTTGATAACTGTATTATCAATAAGTCTCTATAGTCTCTTATAATTTTTCTTCATTGACAATGGCTTAGTGGGAATTTTATCTGGATATATTTTCACAAAGCCTTAAAGTGATCAATATGAGTTTCCCTTAGTGATTATTTGACCAAGTGGGAGACTGTAAGACAAATCCGTGTCTTAGTCTAAATTGTGGTCTTCTAATCATATTTGATTTGGAAGAGCTCTAATTGATCATGAAGTATTAATCCTAATACTAGTAGGATACTGAATCAAATAGTGCGTTTACATTGAGATAGGAATTCGTTCGAGTACTCCTTGATGGGTAAGGTACCGGAACAGATGCTTATAAATAAGGTCTCTTTCCTATCGTCTAAAATACACTCATAACAAAAACTCACCCCATCCAGAGATAGAGATAAAGAGACGAGTAGGAGAAGAAGATCCTTATTCACAATGTCTGATCAAGGTTAGTATTTGAGATTCAAAGACACGATAACTTACAGTATGGGTTGTTAAGATTTTATCCAGAGATTCAGAGAAAGCTTTATTTTTTCATTAAACCCTTTTCATCTTTTTCAATCGTGCACAGTGCAATATCCGAGTGGGGGAATTGGGAAATTAAAGGATGAAAAATAATAATTGGGGCATGCCAAATTGGCAAATGTAAAGAAGATGAAGCCTATCAAAAACATCATTTGTTGGCAATGGAAACTGCAGGATGATTGGAAGTTAAGCCATAAAAATCTCCATCAGTATCTCTCACTCACTCATCTTTTGGGACAGATTCCAGCTTTCTTCCACCACCCACTACAACCTCTCTGTCTACCCCACACCCAAGCAAGATTCCAACTGATCATCTTCGCTCTCTGATAAAAGATTCCAGCTGTTAATTTATTCGCACCAGAAATTAGGGATGTCCCATTCACAATCAAACAAACACAAGATAACTTTGCTGGACCAACCTTGCTGGCCGCCCATTTTCTTTAATTCTACTAAGGAACGATTGTCTTAAATCTCAAATATCTTGAAGTACAGAAATGATAAGTAGTTTAGTTTGGATCGTAAAAATATAGTGGCGGATTCAGATATTTTTCTTCACGCTACAACGGTAAATACAATTAGTTTCTACCTCAACCTTTTTGAGGCATTTCGACAAACGGTTTAAGGATAATAACAATAGATAACTGAATTGATGAGCCAGATTAACAACATAGATGTCCGAGTGGAGAATATAGTAATTTATAAACAAATGAAAATAGTATTTTTCCAGTAATAATTTTTGAAAAGAACTAATGATAGATACCAATTGTTTAAATTAAACAACACTTCGTTTTCTTGTAATAATTTCAATTTGTTGGATGATTGGTGTGGTCTTCGTGGACTCAGTTATTAGTTGGATAATTAGTTAAACGATATAATTAGATATTTTAAATAACTTTCAATTGTCTAATATTTTATAAAAATCAACTGCAAATTACGACTTAGACGGTTGAAATACAATTTACTTCAAAACAACAAATTATTCAACGTGTTGAGAATGCTTTATATGGAGTCTACATAGACTTGACTAATTGGGTGTTAGGCAATTATGAATTAAATGCTTGGAAATTAAGGCCATGTTTGGTATGTCTCACTATGCCTCATTGGACTAGACTGTGTTATATAATACTTGAAATCCATATTTGGTAATGAAGGAGATTAACTTAAATGGGATTGTATAGTCCATCCGTGTAAAAAAAGTTTTTTTTTTAATGAAATAGGAAGAGAAAAAAAAAGAACACGATAACAAAAAGAAAAGAGAGAAAGAAAAAGAAGAAGAAAACACTAGGAAAAAAGCGAAAACAGAAAAAGAAAAAGAAATTAATAAAATAATTACTTTTTAGTCTGACACAGTATCAAACATAGGTCTTCACTATTTTTACAATCCAGCTCCTTAGTCCAACGTAGCTCAGTACTTAATCAAACTTAGGCCAATCTGAACTAATCCAAGACAGTCCTAAGATTTAGTTCAGTCCATAACAATTTGTCATACCAAACGAACCCTAACCCCAATAACCCCAGTTGACATCCCTGTCTCCAATTAGCCAATATAAGGCCAAGAGTATGCTTACATTACAGCAGCAACTCAATCATCTAGAGGCAATCTTGTTAATTATTCATGGCAACTCCTATTATTTCTAGCTCCTCCTTCCTTAGGTTTTTCATGGGTTTCTTCTCTGTATTTCTATGCCTAATTCTCTGCTCTTTCGAGAACGGATTTGCTTTGGCAGCAAGAGATACAAAACCCCACCTTCTGCCACATACCACTCACACGGTTGAAGTAAACTCTCTTCTACCAGCAACCACCTGCAGCCCCTCCACCAAAGGTTAATTCATCCTATATTTTATATATATATATATATATGTATAACTTAATTTCAAACCCCATTTTATGTGCATTTATGTATCTCTAACACTCTCTCTCTCTCTCTCTCTCTCTCTCTCTCTCTCTCTCTCTATGCATACATGAATGATCTCAGGTCATAACAGTAACAAGGCACCTTCGGTATTGAAAGTGGTGCACAAACATGGGCCATGCTCCAAATTCCACAAATCATCAAAAACTTCAACAACAACTAGTGATGAAAAATACCATGCTCAAATCCTCAAGCAAGACCATGCCCGAGTCAACTCAATCCACTCCCGCCTCAACCACAACAACAACAACAACAGAATGAAAGACCCACTCACCCAATCCGCTGCTACCACCCTCCCCGCCAAGTCCGGTATCGTTATCGGCTCACCGAATTACATTGTCACCGTCGGCCTTGGTACACCCGCCAAGCAACTCTCCCTCATCTTCGACACCGGCAGCGACCTCACCTGGACCCAATGCCAGCCATGTGCTGGGTATTGTTACAAACAGAGAGAGCCCATCTTCGACCCTTCTCTCTCCGCCTCATACAAAAACATCTCATGTACCACCGCCTCGTGTACTCAGCTCTCATCCTCCGGCATCGAACACGACTGCTCCTCCTCCACCTCCGCCTGCCTCTACGCCGCCGGGTACGGAGACAACTCCTTCACTGTCGGGGTCTTTGGCAGCGAAAAGCTTACATTGACCCCGACGGACGTTTTTGAATATTTCCTCTTCGGCTGTGGCCTAGACAACGAAGGCCTATTCAACGGATCCGCCGGTTTGCTCGGTCTCGGCCGGAGCAGCATCTCCTTGGTCGAGCAAACCGCCAATAAATACAACCGGTTATTCTCCTACTGCCTCCCATCGACTTCCAGCTCCACCGGTCACCTCACCTTCGGCCACGGAGGCTCCGCTAACGGCGTTCAGTTCACAAAGCTCATCACGTCATCCCAAAGCGAGTCGTTTTACGGCCTTGGCCTCGCCGGCATCAAAGTCGGTGGGAGACAGCTGTCGATTGCGCCCTCGGTCTTTTCGTCTTCGGGAACTATCATCGACTCGGGGACGGTGATCACGCGGCTGCCGGCGACGGCATACGCCTCGTTGCGGGGCGCGTTTCGGGAGGCGATGAAGAACTACACGCTGACTAAGTCGTTCTCGTTGCTGGACACGTGTTACGATATCAGCGGCTTGAACACATTTTCGTATCCGGAGATAGCGTTTGTGTTTGGGGACGGACTTACGGTTGACTTGGACGCTACGGGGATATTGTTTCTGATAAGTCCTTCGCAGGTTTGCTTGGCGTTCGCCGGAAACATGGATGATAGTGACTTTGGGATTATTGGGAATGTTCAACAGAAGAGGTTGGAAGTTGTGTATGACGTCGTTGGAGGAAAAGTCGGATTTGGCCCTGCAGGTTGCCATTGAGTGATGTAGATCGTCCATGGGGTATAATTGTAATACAAACAGCTTGCTAGCTGTAGAATAAAGCATTGGGTGAGAAAGCAGCCCAATTCTTACATTTTTCTGGTTTTTTTTTTCGGGTTCTTATGGGAAATACCCATCTAATTCTTATTTTCTAGATATAAACCCAAATTCAAAATATGCTGTCATTTAAGATAAAATTTGTCCTAGTATTATCAATTAAATTACAATATGTGCCATTAATCTTCATTAATTCCTTCGTTTGTAACTGTACATTGATTCTTTTCCTAATAAACATCTGGCTCTTTTCCTAATAAACATCAAGTCCACACACACCCCCCCCCCCCCCCCCTGCCACACACTACTCACACAGTTGAAGTAAACTCTCTTCTACCAGCAACCACCTGCCCCTCCACCAAAGGTTAATTCATTTCAAACCCCATTTTAATTACGTGCAAGCAGGGACGGATCTACATAGTGGGCTGTCTGGGCTATAACCCATACGAATGTAATACCATGAAGTATTCTTGAGGAGTGCTTCTATAGTGAGTGGAAAGTTATAAGGGGTGTTTTTGAGGGGGTATCTAAGAGCCGTCGGATAAAATCCAATGGTGAGTTTTCAATGTTGTCTTTTTGGTAAAACCGGGTTGAAATTACCCATACCAAAAGAGGCAATCCGAAAGTGCAGAACACGCTCTTTCATCATTAACCCTCCTTCCTCGCCAGCCACCCACTCTGTAATATGTTATTCTCTCTCTCTCTCTGTTGCCATCTCTGGTTTGTGGTTATCAAAGAACCAAAATCCGTTCAATAAATATCTTGCAACCAACACAGACACAATGGAGGGTTTTGAGTCTTCTTTTATTATTGACACTTTATCACCTCAAAAATTCATTTCTGACGCCCAAGTTCTCCTAATTCCTCTCCTCTCTCGCACTCTCCCAAATCTTGCCTCAGCTTCAGCTCGCCAGCCATCTCGCTACTGTCCAATCCCGTTCTCCCACCCATCCATCGTCATAACCTAGCTCTCCTCAAATTCGGAACCCTAGTTTGACCCTAACCAAGCCGCCGCAACTCACGACCTCCGTCGTCGACCTCCACCGTGAAGCCACAGTCGCGACCTCCATCGTCGTTCTCCACAGTGGTGAGTTCTGATATTGGTTTTGTACTCTCTGTCTGTTATAAATTCGTTGATCCCCCTTTCTTTATTATTGCAACAGTAGGGGCATTCATGGCGCCGCTCCAGCCTCATCTCCTTTGCTCTCTAACTGTTAGTTCTCTTCTTCTCCGTCTTCAAATTTCAGTACTCCTCCTGACCTGAACCACCTACTTCTCTGGTTCTCTTCATCTTCATGTCATTCAATTTCAATTTTTTTTTCCTTTCTAAATTCTACTTTTGGGGGTTAGGAATTAGGGATTCAGTTGGGCATTTAGAACTTAGGGATTAATTTTCAAAATTCTAATTTAGGGATTCATTCAATGCCTAATTTATGAGCTTTGGCTTTATGAATTATGAAGTAGACTACTTGTTTTTAATTGATCATTGGTAATGGTATTATTGTAGTTTTTAATTGATCTTTGCATATTTCAGATTTTAGCCTTACAATTTTAGTGGCTGGGCAGCTTGCAATTTTGTGTGGACAGGTTATTAAATTCTTTTAGTATTAATGGAAGTTGTGTTACTAAATTACCAGTACCTATGCTCTTGGTTGACATGGTTGTTATGAATTGTAAGATTAGCTTACTATTCGATGGACCCACTTGCTGATATTAGGAAATGGAGGTATTAATTGAAATGAATGGGAATCTGCTTGTTTCTTATGCTATTAGATTTTGTGTGAGTGTGATGCTAATCAGCCATTAAAATACACATATTTGGTGTTAATATTTGAAGTATTGGAACATGGGAAAGTTGAAAACAGGCATCTTCATGAGATGCTTGAGCAAGATTTGAAGTATTGCAAGAGCATTAAGTAGACCTCCTTTGATATGGCTTGCTGTAGAATGTAACATATGGATCTGAATTCCTTGTTCTGAAGGTGCCCCTGTAGATTATTTGTTTCAAGTCATGATTCTCTTACACCTATATAGAAACATAGGATTGGTTTGTTTTTATTTTATCTGGAATTGTTTGTTTTTTAGAAAATGGAGAATATTGGACTGCTTCAGAAAATTGTGGTTGTTTTGTTCACTATTGCCTTCTTTAGGAAGCTTATATAAAGTACATGTGGAGCTTCTTAAGTCAGACAATTCCATATTGGCCCATTTTTTGCCAAACCATCTGCTGATTTTTTAATGGTTCTTGTTGTTCCTAATCATGTTCCCGTAATATCACTTTTTGCAGGGCCTTCATTGTGTCTGGAAGGTTGGTTCCAGCTAATGATGTTCTAGCTACACTGTATTCTCTACCAGATAAAGTGGTAGATACTGTCGGTATTACGTCATTGCCATCTGAAGATTCTATATTTGAAAGGCGAAGGAAATTGGACTTCCTTCATATGCAGGAAGAACGATGAAGGTTGGAATATTTTTTCTTTTATCTTGATAGCTTTATAGATATCTATTGGTGCTTTAGGAAGCTGCAGAACTAAACTTGCTAATCTGTATTTCATCAGGAGGAAAATAAGTGTGTATTTTGTTAAGCCAGTTTTGATGCATTTGTTTTGGACTTGGCTGAAATTCGGAATCCAAAAAATAAAAATAAAAAAAGGATGAGCAATCAAATAATAATGTTGAAAACAAAACTCCTGAAATCAATATTATGACTGTCATCCAGAGATTCTAAATTATTATATTGCAGAAGGAGGAAGAGAGAGAAAGAAGAGCAAGCCAAGATGAAGGAAATTAAAGCCAGTGAAGAGGATTTGGCATTGAAAGAGATGATTATTCCAACAGCAAAAGAAGCACGAGAACAAGCAAGGGCAAGGACACTAGAAAAGGAAGAGAAGATCTGCGAAATAAGTTGTGCATTGGCTGTTTTGGCTTCTGCATCTGTAAGGACTGGACTTAATAACTCTCAATGATTATGATTGTTGATTTTTCATTTTTCATTTTCCAAATTTTCAAGCACTATCATCTACACTATGGCTTAACAGTTTTTAATTTTTTCTGTTATTGACTCATTATTTCAGTCAGTTAGTAGGGAGCGTGAAGCGTTCCTGAGACTTGTCAATTTGGAGGTAATTTAAAACCCTTAATTACTCCTAGTTTATATTAGGTATCTATTAAGATGGAAGCATTTATCGTTGGTACCCTTACCATAGGTATGCATGGCATGCTAGTCTTCTCATGCTCGATATATGCAGACGCATTGGAGGTTTAACTGCTTACAGTTTATCAGGAGGACCGTACATCACAAATATTGTCTGCAGTTCTGATTTCCATGTTTCTGCTTGTACTGTGGATGTATTGGAAGAATTTGGATGTTGATGTCCACTATGCTTTGGCCCCTTTTAGTTTGAAGGATGTGTAGATTGACGACTTTTTAACTTTTAATGTGATTTACTTATGAGCTGTCTTCTACACATTATGTGAATGCATGCAACTCTGTCTTCAGCGTCATGTTCAAGTCAGAAGAATACTTCTGTATGTTCTTGTTTGAGTCCAAATGCATTTTCTTTGGGAATATTTTGCTTAAGTTGATTCTTTTGATCTTTCCAGATTGAACTTTACAATGGCATGGTGGAGAAAGAGGGTACAGATGGTGAAAAGGATGCCTTGAAGGCATATAAAGTTGCTCATGATGAAAGTGACAGTACTTCTGTTGAGGCTGAAGGTGACGAGGTTTCATCAGCGCTTATAGACAAGGTTATATATGAAATTCTGAATTATCTACTTTTAACTTACTTACCCCGTGTTCACTTGATGGATTATCGTATCTTCTATGTATCAGGTGGATGCAATGCTTCAAAACCTTGAGACGGAAATTGATTATATATGCGCATATTGGTGATCTCTGGCAATTACTTGACTGGTGAACTCGTCTTGTTTCGTCTTTGGTTTTCTTTTCCTATGAGTTCTGTTAGAAATCGTACTTCCTACTGAATGGAAGCAATCCTTCTTTTCTTGTCTTTCAATCTGTAGTCGGTTTGAGTTGTTATTAAACTCATTTTGAGGGATACTAGTAATGTTAAACTTTGATGGATGGTACTGCATTGGAATTTTGTCCATGTAATTAAAGGTATGAGGTTTACAATATGTGTGCATGGATTTTGATGGGAAAGTAACTCCTAATGAGGTTGCAGTTGCTCCGAACTACTTGAATTATACTTTAGGCAAGGAGGGCATCCAAGAACTCATAGGCAACCTTTCCAAAGATAAAGGTGAGTGAATTTTGTTTACACCGTATATGTATAGGAATCTAAATCTAATATGATGATGATGATTTTTCCTTGAAGTTAATTTGATTGATTGATTCATGAAGATGATGATGATGATGAATGTTGTTATCTTTGTGTGTGACAGATGAGAAAAATCGTGTGGAAGATATTGTGAAATTGGGCAGCCGGACAGAAGATGCAAACCAAGCTGAAGATGAGGGATTAGGGAATAATATATATGAGTCACTGACTGACTTTATTCATGATATATATATATATATATCTGAGACTCTGATGTGGAGTGGATTTGGTTAAATCCACTCTCTAGGTTTTGTTTTTCAATATACACGCAATGCAACAAACCAAAATTGTATAGCACATGGTATGTTACTTATGACTCACGTGTCAGTTTTTTTGAGAAAAAGTACGCCAGCTCGTTAATGTGAACGGACATGATAATGGGGCTTTACTGATTCCTAACTCGCTGTGATATTGACTGCTTATTGAATAATATTTCAATATTTGTGAAATATAATGTTAGATAGAAGGAACACATGATGACTTGCAATACATAGTCCCAATAATTATATATGAAGCAAATGAAACTGATATTTGTCTTATTTTAAATTAGATAATGACATTAAAGGAATATACTTCTAATTTGTGCAATACTACGATCACCCCCAACCAACTGAACAACGGTAGCCGCAATCACTTAGTCGTATTGGTCGGCTTCTTCTGAGCAGCTTTGACGTGCTTATGCTCATTCATGTCACCACCATCGTCTAGTATCTCTCTCACAGCATCAAGAGACACATAGTCCCAATTATAACTTATATGAGTAGTTGCCACAAATGCTCGGAATTTTTCGAATCCTTCGTTGAATGCCAGCTCCAGTTCACTGTGGTGCTCTTCGCATTGCATATAGTTCATCAAACAACCTTTAATTTCATCATTCATTACTGTATCCAACTCCTCAGCTTTCAGCTTCCTTTTATGACTCAACTTCAAGTACTTGTTCTTTTGGGAGAACGCTTTGTTCACTCTAATGTTAAGATCAGCCAAAATGGCCTCGTCTTCAACACATTTCTCGTGCCATGAATTGATCAGTCTGGAATTATAATTCAGCTTGCTATTGACTGCATGTATTGCTTCTAATGGATCATCGGAGTCCCCTTCACTCCCAAATGATGTTGAAAATGGAAGGGGTCGGAGAGTACAACGTGGAAATGGAACCTGTGACTCCAATTTTTCATCTTCGATTGTGTTGTTGGCGCCTGAAGAGGTTGACATGCTTGAATAATCCTATTTGTTTTAGAGGATGAGGATTGCACATGCAATTTCGTTTGAGAAAGGGAACATAGCTTTATAGACCAACATACCAAAGCTTGTGTGTAGTCAACATATGTACTTTATTTAAATTTTAAAAAAGAGGTGCCAGGTTTAGCTTTTCAAGCATGTCAACCTCACAGTCTCCTTACACCACTGTTAGTGGTTGAAAGAAACTCAATGGAAGTGACATCGAGTTAGTGAACCCAACCAAACTAGTTAGGATTAAACTTAGATTGTATCAGACCAAAAATTAATTTATACATTGTCAACCAAATGTTTTTTGGCGGGAACCCTTTTATTGGTATTACTATCACCCCTTTCATAGAAATTCTCCCTCCAAAAAAACTCACTCCTCCACCGAATTTGTCTCCATCTACTGAAACTCTCTCCTCCACAGAAACTCTCCCCCCCCCCATAGAATGGATTTACCAACCAAGTTTGATGTGAGCATAATAAACACCCCTCCAAACAATGTTATGGCATTATTTTGTACTAGTTATATATATTATTTTTGTACTGTTTCATCTCCTACTATTGCTTTCTTTCTTTATATTATATGTTTTTGGAATCCCTCTCAAAGTTAACATATACTGCAAAAAAAAATGCAGAGTGAATATATAATCACTCATATAGACTAGGACAAATATTCACTAATATTTTAAAATTGCTTGATTGGTGTGAGTTTTTTCATAAAAAGTATGGCATTATTTTATGTGATTGGACATGACAAAAAATATATTACTGATTCCCAATGCGGTGTCATATGGACAACTTATTGAATACCTCTGACGTAATATGGACAACTTATTAAATACCTCTGACGTGTTCAAAGCTCTAGGCGCAATTGCAATGATAGCTTTAAAGCAGTGTGCAATTATTATATATATGTACATTATTACAACAAAACAGATAATTTTACATCCTTATATATGAAAGCAAACCAATTCTTATATTAGTACAAGTTATATAACGAATATTAAGGAAATATACTTGTTAAAGTGAACAAACATATATACTTAGGGTTAAGAGGAAAATGAGTTATGTGAAATAATTTGGATTTTTTCATTGCGAAACGGATGATTTATAGGTTCCCCTAGTTTCATAACGTCACAAGGAGGCCGGAGTAATTTTCGTGGAATTTTTAGGATTTTCCTACTATTTATTACCTTTTTTCAAAGATTTTTGCTCTAAAAAAGCCAAAATAATTGCAAGAGGACACCTGGCGCGATCTTAGCCCATCACCTTTCACCACTTGCACAAGTGTACGTTAGTCAACATAGCCACATCCTTGCCTTCTATCATAAATTATTATTTTATTACTTTTTCTTAGAAAATTCATAACTAAATACACAAAAATTAGAAAAATGATCCGAAAATTGCTACGAACTCATTGAGACTCCATCTCCCTTGCTATATTCCCCGATTCATGGTTACGCATTTTACAAAATAATTCCGAACATTAACGGGAGATGCTTGTTGAAGTAGATTTTTGAAGTTAAAGTTAACAAACATATCTACTTAGGGTTAAGGGGAAAGTGAGTTATGTAAAACAATTTGAATTTTTTCATTGCGAAACGGATGATTTATAGCTTCCCCTAGGTTTATAACGTGACAAGGAGGCCGGAGTAATTTTCGGGGCATTTTTAGGATTTTCCTACTATTTATTACCTTTTTTCAAAGATTTTTGCACTAAAAAAGCCAAAATAATTGCAAGAGGACACTTGGCGCGATCTCAGCCCATCAACTTTCACCACTTGCACAAGTGTACGTCAGTCAACATGGCCACATCATTGCCTTTTACCCTAAATTATTATTTTATTACTTTTTCTTAGAAAATTCATAACTAAATACACAAAAATTAGAAAAATGATCCGAAAATTGCTACGAACTCATTGAGACTCCATCTCCCTTGCTAAATTCCCCGATTCATGGTTACGCATTTTACAAAATAATTCCGAACATTAACGGGAGATGCTTGTTGAAGTAGATTTTTGAAGTTAAAGTTAACAAACATATCTACTTAGGGTTAAGGGGAAAGTGAGCTATGTAAAACAATTTGAATTTTTTCATTGTGAAACGGATGATTTATAGCTTCCCCTAGGTTTATAACGTGACAAGGAGGCCGGAGTAATTTTCGGGGCATTTTTAGGGTTTTCCTACTATTTATTACCTTTTTTCAAAGATTTTTGCACTAAAAAAGCCAAAATAATTGCAAGAGGACACTTGGCGCGATCTCAGCCCATCAACTTTCACCACTTGCACAAGTGTACGTCAGTCAACATGGCCACATCATTGCCTTTTACCCTAAATTATTATTTTATTACTTTTTCTTAGAAAATTCATAACTAAATACACAAAAATTAGAAAAATGATCCGAAAATTGCTACGAACTCATTGAGACTCCATCTCCCTTGCTATATTCCCCGATTCATGGTTACGCATTTTACAAAATAATTCCGAACATTAACGGGAGATGCTTGTTGAAGTAGATTTTTGAAGTTAAAGTTAACAAACATATCTACTTAGGGTTAAGGGGAAAGTGAGCTATGTAAAACAATTTGAATTTTTTCATTGTGAAACGGATGATTTATAGCTTCCCCTAGGTTTATAACGTGATATGGAGGCTGGAGTAATTTTCGGGGCATTTTTAGGGTTTTCCTACTATTTATTACCTTTTTTCAAAGATTTTTGCACTAAAAAAGCCAAAATAATTGCAAGAGGACACTTGGCGCGATCTCAGCCCATCAACTTTCACCACTTGCACAAGTGTACGTCAGTCAACATGGCCACATCATTGCCTTTTACCCTAAATTATTATTTTATTACTTTTTCTTAGAAAATTCATAACTAAATACACAAAAATTAGAAAAATGATCCGAAAATTGCTACGAACTCATTGAGACTCCATCTCCCTTGCTAAATTCCCCGATTCATGGTTACGCATTTTACAAAATAATTCCGAACATTAACGGGAGATGCTTGTTGAAGTAAATTTTTGAAGTTAAAGTTAACAAACATATCTACTTAGGGTTAAGGGGAAAGTGAGCTATGTAAAACAATTTGAATTTTTTCATTGTGAAACGGATGATTTATAGCTTCCCCTAGGTTTATCACGTGATATGGAGGCTGGAGTAATTTTCGGGGCATTTTTAGGGTTTTCCTACTATTTATTACATTTTTTTCAAAGATTTTTGCACTAAAAAAGCCAAAATAATTCCAAGAGGACACTTGGCACGATCTCAGCCCATCAACTTTCACCACTTGCACAAGTGTACGTCAGTCAACATGGCCACATCATTGC